AGTCTTGTCATCTCTTGTTTGACTACGTCTAGCTTGCCTTGACTCATGGATCTTACATTCCAGGTTCCTATGGAGCATCGGACTTTCCTTTCACCACCAGATATATCCACAGCTGAGCGTCCTTTCGGCTTTGGCCCAGTCGCTTCATTCTTTCTGACGCTACTAGTACTAGCCCTCTGCTCTTCCCCAGTAGCATATTGTACTTCCGACCTGAGGGGCTCATCTTCCAGCATCATATCTTTTTGCCTTTTAGTACTGTCCATGGGGTTTTCATGGCAAAGATACTGGAGTGGTTTGCCATTTCCTTCTCCAGTGGATCACATTTTGTCAGAACTCTCTGCTATGACCTGTCCGTCTTGGGTGGCCCTACATGGCATAGCTCATAGCTTCATTGAGTTATGCAAGCCCCTTCGCCACGACAAGGCAATAATCCATAAAGGGGATAATAATATAATATAATATAATATAATATAATATAATATAATATAATATAATATAATATAATATAATATAATATAATATAATATAATATAATATAATATAATATAATATAATATAATATAATATAATATAATATAATATAATATAATATAATAAATATAATATTAATATAATATAATATAATATAATATAATATAATATAATATAATATAATATAATATAATATAATATAATAATATAATATAATATAATATAATATAATATAATATAATATAATATAATATAATATAATATAATATAATATAATATAATATAATATAATAATAAATATAATATAATATAATAATATAATATAATAATAATATAATATAAGAAGTATGCATGATTCTTACATAGTGCTCCAAGTATCATGCCCACCGAACCAAAATTTGCAAATCCACAAAGCGCGTAAGTGGCAATTGTTTCAGATCGTATCTGAAATAAACCAAAAGACCAATTACTTTCTCTTTGAGAAAGAAAACCGTTTTTAGTTTCTGGTTAATGGCATTTGAACATACAATAAGGGCGTAATGTCTGTATATGGTTTTGGATGAGAATAAATTTAGAATTTCCCCATGTCCTCTCCCCTCTGCTACGAAGAATTACATATTAGAAGAAGCCAGAAATAGAAATAGAAAATTTTCATACCCTTTATATATTTATCAGATAAAACATCTGGTTCCCATGACTAGATTCCATTATATATATATGATGCTGAAATAGAGAACTTGAACTTCCAATAAAAAAAATCCAATTTTCCTTTAGGTTTTGTTTTTTTTTGTAGTCATGTTGATGGTTTTCTGATAGTGGCTAGAATTTCTCAAAATGTAGCTAATTTCAACACTGGTATGTCTGAAGCCATTAGCAAACACATGTAATACTTTATTGCCAAGGGCTATTTCAGATGTGTCAGCTATTTTGCTGAAATTTCTTAGTAGAAAATGGAACATGCGCATAGTGTGTCAATTCTAATCATGCACATATTTGAATTTTGTGCATATAGATGTCACTCTGCATATGGTTTTCAAAAGAATGAGCAGGCTTAGTAGTGCATTTGATATCTTAAAGAAAAAAATCTTAAAAAAAAAAAATTGAGAGAAACACAGCTTCCCATTGTGAACAGATCTGCATTATCCTGTGGTCATGTCTAGGTAAAAAGACTTTGCAAGTTTTTTAAACAATAAGGTGCAAAATATTTTCCTGAATGTTTCCTCCAATTTGACCACACAACTATCATGACTATGGCTAAATTATTCATCAGTGAACAAAGTTCCTAATGGACTGGAACTTAGATTAATTAGGGCAGGTTTAATGGCCTAGCAGTTATATTTCTATAAAATATTAGATTTGGTTAGGGTTGGTGTGTGTGTGTGTGTGTGAGAGAGAGAGAGAGAGAGAGAGAGAGAGAGGGAGAGGGAGAGGGAGAGGGAGAGGGAGAGGGAGAGGGAGAGGGAAGAAGAGAGAGAGAGAGAGGGAAGGAGGGAGGGAGAGAGAGAGAGAGACTGAGACTTAGTATGTTGTATCCAAGGCCATTTACTCAGTATCTGATTCAACATACTGTGTGAATCCAGAAAATGGGTTTTATTGTGTAAACATGATGAATATTATAGTTTCATTATTTTTTTTCAAAACTTAATACAGTTTTGTGATTTGGATTTTATAATGCTAGTAGAAAATTTGCTTTCCCCCCAATGAATTCATCTAATAGCGTCATCTTAATTCAAGGACAGCAAATGTATGAGAGCAAATTCTCACTTGTCTTTCCTGCTGTTCTCAATGCACCAGCTGATTACACAATAGTAGAATAAATCAGAATTCTCCTTCTCTTTGACCCCTATTTTACTTCAGTGCTAAAGTTATGTACAGTCATACACCCCCAAATATTCATTTGGGTTATAGACAATATTATTAAATTCAACCAAGGCATAACTTGGATTATGAACCACAAGAAAATGGTATTACAAAAATATTTATATCAATTGTGGCTTCAGATCTGTAGGAACCCATGCCTAACATAGTCACTTTAATTCAGAAATAGGTTCTGGGAAAGTCCACCAGACAAAAATCTGTGAGGTATTAGATTTAATGAAACAGAATTGTACAGGAATACTTACACTCAGGTACTGTTTCACACCACTGATGTACATTTCTCCTCCCTTCTTTCTTAGTTTAATCAAGGTTGCAAGGTGTTCATAAGCCACAAATTCATTGAAGAAAGTCTTGTAACCAAGCAGCCCACCAACAATAAAGCTGTCTTCCCAATCTACTCCCATCATAAAAGAAAATGGCATAAACAGATATGAACAGATTATCTATAAGGGATAAAACAAGAACAAAGAGAAATATGAGCTGTAAACCTTATTGAGCACCTATTGACTTATTGATCACACAAGCAAATTCTGAAGCAGTATAAAACCTAGCAGACAACTTTGTCTCCCAAAAAGTAGAGAAGGGAACTAGGGGATTAGCCACATTGGGTCTAATTCTCATTATCAGAGATGAAATGATAGAAGGCGTTGAAGCCACAGGAACCTTGGGAAGTGATCATGCAATATTGGAATTCAACATTATGGAAGCACAAGCAATAGAACACAGTCAAACTAGAGCCTTGGACTTTAAGAGAGCTAATTTCAATAAACTTAGAGAGGGTTTGGGAAGGATTCCATGGATGAGAATCCTCAAGGGGAAAACAACTCAAGAAGCTTGGGAAATTTTGAAAAGTGAGACAATAAAAGCCCAGTCTAGCACAATACCAACAAAGAAGAAAAATAACAGCTCTCAAAAGAAACCAGTATGGCTGCATAAAGAACTCTCTGATAAATTGAAAGATAAAAAGGACAAGTATAAAAAGTGGAAAGAGGGGCACATAACTAAGGCAGAATATCAGCAAATAGCCCGAGCCTGCAAAGATGAAGTGAGGAAAGCTAAGGTTCAAAATGAACTAAGGCTTGCGACCAAAGTCAAAAATAACAAAAAAAAAGCTTCTTTCAACATGTAAAAAACAAGAAAAAAGTTAAGGAAATGATTGATCCATTAGTGGGGGAAAGTGGCAAGAAGATGACAAGCAACAGGGAGAAAGCAGAACTATTTAACTCATTTTTTGCATCTGTCTTTACACAAAGGGAAAAAATAGTCCAACCTATCAAAAACAGTGCCATAAAAAACAGAATAGAAACACAAGTTAAGATAGGCAAGAAAATGGTAAGTGAGCACCTGTCCAGCCTAGACCTACACCCCAAGGTTCTCAAGGAACTGGCAGATGTGATCTCAGAACCACTGAACTATATTTTTCAAAGATCCTGGAGCACTGGGGAACTACCAGAGGACTGGAAAAGAACTGATGTAGTTCCCATCTTCAAAAAAGGGAAAAAAAATGAATACAGGAAATTACAGACCTATTAGCCTGACCTCAATACCTGGGAAGATTCTGGAAAAGATAATCAAACAACAAATCAGCGAACACCTAGAGCAGTGATGGCGAACCTTTTAGAGACCGAGTGCCCAAACTGCAATCCAAAACCCACTTATTTATTGCCGGGTGCCAGGTGGGTGTGGCCCACTGGAGGGGCGTGGCTGTGGTCATGGCAGATTGGGTGGGTGTGGCCAAGGTGGGTGTGGTCACCTCAATGTTGCTCGTGGGGAGGGACACCTGTGGGTGTGGGCAGGGTTGGGGGAGATCCAGGGGGTCTCAGGCAGGTGCGGTGGTAGGCAGGAAGCTTGTCCTGCGGGGTGAGGCGAGGCAGGGCGGCTGCTGCCTGACACCATCGGGCCCCACACACAGAGGCCAGCGAGCGCATGGGGGCCAATGGTGTCCATCAACAGCCACAGCCTGCTGGCCCCTCAACCGGCACACTCTGGGGCTCTGCAGCCCGCTGCCAGCAGTTCAGAGAAGCCGCCTCTGAGCTGGCTGGCCGGCCGACAGCTGAGGAGGTGATGCAGTGGGTCGTGCCCGGGAAAAGGAGAGCATGCGAGGCCAGGAGGGAGGGGACGGGGGGAGGGAAACCAGCCATGCTGGGTTGCATCCAGCCACGTGGGACCTTGGTGAGTTAGCAGGTGGCTGCTTGAAGAGGAACAGTTGCCATCTCCGGGGCATGGTGGGCGTGCCCACTGAGAGGGCTCTGAGTGCCACCTCTGTCACGCATGCCATAGGTTTGCCACCACTGACCTAGAGGCAAACAAAGTCATTACTAAAAGCCAACATGGGTTTGTCAAAAACAGATCATGCCAGATAAATCTTATTGCATTCTTTGACCAAGTGACAAAATTAGTGGACCAAAGGAATGCTGTGGATATAATTTACCTAGACTTCAGTAAGGCATTTGATAAAGTATATCACAACCTACTACTTGATAAGATAGAAAAATGTGGGTTAGACAGCATCACCACCAGATGGATTCGTAGCTGGCTGACCGGCCATACTCAGTGTGTGGTCCTCAATGGAACTACATCTACATGGAGGAAAGTGTGTAGTGGGATGCCCCAGGACTCTATTCTAGGCCCAGTGCTCTTCAACATCTTCATCAACAATTTGGATGAGAGGATAGATGGGGAACTCATCAAATTTGCAGACGACACCAAGCTGGCAGGAATAGCCAACACTCCAGAAGATGGGCTTAAGATACAGAAGGATCTGGACAGACTTGAACACTGGGCGCTATCTAACAAAATGAAATTCAATGGTAAAAAAGTAAGGTTCTACCTTTAGGCAAGGAAAACCAAATGTACAGGTATAGTATAGGTGGTACCTTGCTCAATAGTAGTAACTGTGAGAGGGATCTTGGAGTCCTAGTGGACAATCACTTAAATATGAGCCAGCAGTGTGCTGCAGCTGCCAAAAAAGCCAACACAGTGCTGGGCTGCATTAACAGAGGGATAGAATCAAGATCACGTGAAGTATTAATACCACTTTAGAATGCCCTGGTAAGGCCACACTTGGAATACTGCATCCAGTTTTGGTCACCATGATGTAAAAAAGAGACTCTAGAAAGAGTACAGAGAAGAGCAACAAAGATGATTAGGGGACTGGAGGCTAAAGCATATAAGGAATGATTGCTGGAATTGGGTATGTCTAATTTAATGAAGAGAAGGATGAGGGGGGACATGATAGCAGTGTTCCAATATCTCAGGGGCTGCCACAGAGAAGAGGGAGTCAAGCTATTTTCCAAAGTGCCTGAAAGCAGAACAAGAAGCAATGGATGGAAACTAATCAAGGAGAGAAGCAATCTAGATGAACTAAGGAGAAACTTCCTGACAGAACAATTAACCAGTGGAACAACCTGCCTCCAGAAGCTGTGAATGCACCAACACTGGAAGTTTTTAAGAAGAGACTGGACAGCCATTTGCCCGAAATGGTATAGGGTTTCCTGCCTGAGCAGGGGGTTGGACTAGATGACCTCCAAGGTCCCTTCCAACTGTATTATTATTATTATTATTATTATTATTATTATTATTATTATTGTTGTTGTTGTTGTTGTTGTTGTTGTTGTTGTTGTTATTGTTAGAGACAATAAATACAGTATGCTTAAAATGTCTTGTTATCAGCTAAAACTTTTATCTAGCAGTGTAGTCTCAAGATTAAACAGTCTATTTATTATGGACACTACATCTTAGTCCAGAAAGAGAAAAAAAATATAACTAAATAAAAAAGCATTCCCACCCTTTAAATGGCCTTAGGGATTGGTTTAGATCCAAGAATGACATAAAACTATCCCCTATTTTCAGGAGACAGGTGATTGAATCTGTAAAATTATACATTGAGTGGAAAGAATGAATAGTAAAACATTATTACATCATTATTATATCACAAGAATACTGTACTATTTGCAAGATCATCACATAAAATGGGTTGCTAGAAAAGCCAAACTACACTATGGAAATCTACATCTCAAACTGAGCTGTTTTAACAAAAAGAGTGAAAGAGATCCCAATTTAGAGGGGACAAAAACTTAACTCTTTCCTACCAATTTAGCTTAATTTAACTCTAATTTAATTTAGTCATTCCTATGGGTAAAGTCTTTTCTTTCTTGACTGAGACACCAGATCAGTGTTAATAGTAGATGCAGCTCTAGAGCATCCACTGTTAATTTTTATCCTATTGATAGGATGACATNTACAGGAAATTACAGACCTATTAGCCTGACCTCAATACCTGGGAAGATTCTGGAAAAGATAATCAAACAACAAATCAGCGAACACCTAGAGCAGTGATGGCGAACCTTTTAGAGACCGAGTGCCCAAACTGCAATCCAAAACCCACTTATTTATTGCCGGGTGCCAGGTGGGTGTGGCCCACTGGAGGGGCGTGGCTGTAGTCATGGCAGATTGGGTGGGTGTGGCCAAGGTGGGTGTGGTCACCTCAATGTTGCTCGTGGGGAGGGACACCTGTGGGTGTGGGCAGGGTTGGGGGAGATCCAGGGGGTCTCTGGCAGGTGCGGTGGTAGGCAGGAAGCTTGTCCTGCGGGGTGAGGCGAGGCAGGGCGGCTGCTGCCTGACACCATCGGGCCCCACACACAGAGGCCAGCGAGCGCATGGGGGCCAATGGTGTCCATCAACAGCCACAGCCTGCTGGCCCCTCAACCGGCACACTCTGGGGCTCTGCAGCCCGCCGCCAGCAGTTCAGAGAAGCCGCCTCTGAGCTGGCTGGCCGGCCGACAGCTGAGGAGGTGATGCAGTGGGTCGTGCCCGGGAAAAGGAGAGCATGCGAGGCCAGGAGGGAGGGGACGGGGGGAGGGAAACCAGCCGTGCCGGGTTGCATCCAGCCACGTGGGACCTTGGTGAGTTAGCAGGTGGCTGCTTGAAGAGGAACAGTTGCCATCTCCGGGGCACGGTGCGCGTGCCCACTGAGAGGGCTCTGAGTGCCACCTCTGTCACGCATGCCATAGGTTTGCCACCACTGACCTAGAGGCAAACAAAGTCATTACTAAAAGCCAACATGGGTTTGTCAAAAACAGATCATGCCAGATAAATCTTATTGCATTCTTTGACCAAGTGACAAAATTAGTGGACCAAAGGAATGCTGTGGATATAATTTACCTAGACTTCAGTAAGGCATTTGATAAAGTATATCACAACCTACTACTTGATAAGATAGAAAAATGTGGGTTAGACAGCATCACCACCAGATGGATTCGTAGCTGGCTGACCGGCCATACTCAGCGTGTGGTCCTCAATGGAACTACATCTACATGGAGGAAAGTGTGTAGTGGGGTGCCCCAGGACTCTATTCTAGGCCCAGTGCTCTTCAACATCTTCATCAACAATTTGGATGAGAGGATAGATGGGGAACTCATCAAATTTGCAGACGACACCAAGCTGGCAGGAATAGCCAACACTCCAGAAGATGGGCTTAAGATACAGAAGGATCTGGACAGACTTGAACACTGGGCGCTATCTAACAAAATGAAATTCAATGGTAAAAAAGTAAGGTTCTACCTTTAGGCAAGAAAAACCAAATGTACAGGTATAGTATAGGTGGTACCTTGCTCAATAGTAGTAACTGTGAGAGGGATCTTGGAGTCCTAGTGGACAATCACTTAAATATGAGCCAGCAGTGTGCTGCAGCTGCCAAAAAAGCCAACACAGTGCTGGGCTGCATTAACAGAGGGATAGAATCAAGATCACGTGAAGTATTAATACCACTTTAGAATGCCCTGGTAAGGCCACACTTGGAATACTGCATCCAGTTTTGGTCACCACGATGTAAAAAAGAGACTCTAGAAAGAGTACAGAGAAGAGCAACAAAGATGATTAGGGGACTGGAGGCTAAAGCATATAAGGAATGATTGCTGGAATTGGGTATGTCTAATTTAATGAAGAGAAGGATGAGGGGGGACATGATAGCAGTGTTCCAATATCTCAGGGGCTGCCACAGAGAAGAGGGAGTCAAGCTATTTTCCAAAGTGCCTGAAAGCAGGACAAGAAGCAATGGATGGAAACTAATCAAGGAGAGAAGCAATCTAGATGAACTAAGGAGAAACTTCCTGACAGAACAATTAACCAGTGGAACAACCTGCCTCCAGAAGCTGTGAATGCACCAACACTGGAAGTTTTTAAGAAGAGACTGGACAGCCATTTGCCCGAAATGGTATAGGGTTTCCTGCCTGAGCAGGGGGTTGGACTAGATGACCTCCAAGGTCCCTTCCAACTGTATTATTATTATTATTATTATTATTATTATTATTATTATTATTATTATTATTGTTGTTGTTGTTGTTGTTGTTGTTGTTATTGTTAGAGGCAATAAATACAGTATGCTTAAAATGTCTTGTTATCAGCTAAAACTTTTATCTAGCAGTGTAGTCTCAAGATTAAACAGTCTATTTATTATGGACACTACATCTTAGTCCAGAAAGAGAAAAAAAATATAACTAAATAAAAAAGCATTCCCACCCTTTAAATGGCCTTAGGGATTGGTTTAGATCCAAGAATGACATAAAACTATCCCCTATTTTCAGGAGACAGGTGATTGAATCTGTAAAATTATACATTGAGTGGAGAGAATGAATAGTAAAACATTATTACATCATTATTATATCACAAGAATACTGTACTATTTGCAAGATCATCACATAAAATGGGTTGCTAGAAAAGCCAAACTACACTATGGAAATCTACATCTCAAACTGAGCTGTTTTAACAAAAATAGTGAAAGAGATCCCAATTTAGAGGGGACAAAAACTTAACTCTTTCCTACCAATTTAGCTTAATTTAACTCTAATTTAATTTAGTCATTCCTATGGGTAAAGTCTTTTCTTTCTTGACTGAGACACCAGATCAGTGTTAATAGTAGATGCAGCTCTAGAGCATCCACTGTTAATTTTTATCCTATTGATAGGATGACATTAGACTAATAGATGGGACATACAATTGCCTGGAGCAGTGCCACCCCATCCATCACCAAAAATGGTACCACCCAAAGTGGCACTCACAGCCACTCCATCTTGCCAGGGCTCAGTTTTAATATATTGCTCCCTAACCAGATCTCCACAACCTCCAGACCCGAGAAAGGGCAGTCATAGCATCGCTTAACTCACCACATTCTTGAAACCTCAAAATCTGCTTCAGTAGATGAAAGGAATTATTTTCTTTCAGACTGGCTAATAGGAAATACCCACTAAATTCGTTCATAGCCTTTTGCTCAAGGGTAAAATGATTTGATATTTCTGAGTCACTGGGGGAAAAATTAATCTGGCCATTAAACAGGCATTAAAAACATATGCAGGAGAATAAAATCTGTAATGTGGCTTGGGCTGAGGAATGAGGGTTCAATTCTCTTTCTATCCTACCTGGAGTCTGTGGATTGGGGTGGAACATTTTCAAATGAATATTCAAACTGAGGCAGAAAGGCAGGAAGAAGCCATGTTTTAACTAATTAGGATCTCTTTGCCTATCAGGCAATTGGGGCCACTCTCAACAAGGTTGAATATTGTGCTCAAAAAGTATTTGTGTTTCCTTTATGCTCCATTAGAAAGCAGAAAAAAAAATTCTCTTGGGAAACTGTCCAGGCCAGCTGTATCCCTTTTGTTTACTGCATTAAAAACCTCCTCACTGAGTGCTTTTATAAATGGTCCCTTGTAGCTAGATAGATGAAGCATCATTAGATTGTTAAGCAATCCATTACTCTTTTCTTTAACTGCATCAGGACTGCGGCTGCTTCCAAGGTAAGCATCTGCACCTAGCTTGCCATATTTTTCTTCTATGCTTAAAGTGATATTCTTTTTGCTCTCAATGGGAATTGAACTCCTTCTTTCCTTTTTTTGCCATTCTAAATGTTTTTCCCATCCATTTATAATTTCCACGGTACCATATGTTACATTAAGTGGAAGCACTTTAATGCAGAAGGTTCTGCATTCACGCATGCCCTAATAATACATAAATAATTGGCTCAACCTGTAATGAATTAATTCTGCCCTTTCCCTCCATGTGATCATTTCCCTTTTTATTTATTTATGGTTGCATTTTAGACCCATCTGCTCATAGTACATAGTTAAAGCAGGGACAGTCATCCAGTTTTTTCCCCTTGCTTTCCATCTGATGATTTCTTGCTCATTGTGAATATGTTAACTGATTGTCTAGATTAATCAGCAGTTTTTACTGAAGTGGGAGCCTTTTTTTTTCTATGTTTGTTCAACAGAGGTACACCTGAATTTTCATGGGTTTTGACCAATTATATGGGGATCACAGGTGGAGTTAGATTTTATTTCATGTATATGTAAATTTAATTAAATGTATGTTTAATTAATACAATTCCATTCTACCTATATATTTAAAATTAGTATTCTTATATGACTTAAAAAAGGTAAATTCGGTAACAACTTTAATTATATGATTCTGTAAGCTTAATCATAATAATGATTAAATCAAATGATTGTATAAACCTATGGAGGTTACTGGGCTGTGACATTGAAGTCTCAAGTTGTGCACCCAATTTTCATACAATGATCTGGGGATATTAACCAAACAGATGATACATAGAAGTACAGTAGTGCCTTTATTGGTAAACTGCAACACAAACAGAATTTGTGTGACTTATTTGTCATGACCACCTGGAAACAAGCAGAATTTTTTTCTTTAAGATCTACAGTCTTTGACTTACAACTATTTGTTTAGTGACTGTTCAAAGTTACAATGGCACTGAAAAAAGTGACTATAACTGTTTTTCACACTTATGACTGTTGTAGCATTCCCATGGTCACGTGATCAAAATTTGTATGCTTGGCAATAGGCATATATTTAGGATGGCTGCAGTGTCCTGGGGTCATGTAATCACCTTTTGCGACCTTCTGACCAGCAAAGTCAATAGGGAAGCCAGATTCACTTGACAACCATGTTACTATCTTAACTATTGCAGTGATTCACTTAACAGCTGTGGCAAGAAAGGTTGTAAAATGGGGCAAAACTCACTTAACAACTGCCTCGCTTCGCAACAGAAATTTTTGGCTCAATTGAGTGCATAAGTTGAGGACTACCTGTATGTGTGTCTATGTGTGTGTGTACATCACACACACATGTGCCTTATTCATGTCCCATTCATTATTTGGGTCTCAGCAGTAAAAAATTAAAACACAAGGCAAATGCACTCACTACATGATTCTTGGCATGTAAATGGCATGAAGTAGCCATTTACTCCCCTGCATTTTGCACATTGAACTCCTTACCAGTAGTTTGTAGTTTGTATAACATGTTAATTAATCATTGTGCCTGATTTTTTTTTGATGGTTGATTTATCCTTTCAGCTGCCCCTCCTTCCTGCTTCCATGCAAGGAAATCCAGAATTAGTCACACAGGAGCACAGACATCTTTCTACCTCTCACACAAAAACCCTATTTTTAATATCACAACAACGAAGAATTTTTTTGCAGACTCTCTGTTACAGAAAAGTGCCTGGTCAAATACTTCAGTATTCAGAAGAGTGCCTTCTTCTAATAATTCTTAGCAGACAGTAGATACATCAGTGCAAGGAAACACAAATATCGTACGTTGACAACTTTAAGACTTGGGGACTTCAACTCCCAGAATTCCCCAGCCAGCCATGCTGGGAGTTGAAGTCCATATGTCTTAAAGTTGCCAAGACTGAACACCCCTGCCTTAAGGCATAATCTACAACTTCAGATATCCTCTTAATAGTAGGCTGAAGTGAAGTCTAGGCTACATCTCCCATACCCCTTGCTTGAGCTAACAGCTGATAGGACAATACCTCAAAGCTCAGTTGTGGGTAGTCAAACATGTTCCCCAGCCAAGACAGGACTGCGTTAAAGAAGGCCAATAAAGCAAGGAAGGCAATCAGATTCACAGCAATGTTGGCTACCAGGGGGATGGCAGCACTGGCACCTTGGCTGGCAGCTTCCAACAGGTTCCTAGCTTCTCTTCAGCAGCAAAAGAAAAGGTGCACATTAATGTGACATTTGTATGGCTCAAAGTGCAAATTTAGCCAACCAAACAGTCAAAACAATCTTTCCCCTACAATAACAGTATTCATCCTTTTTAAAATATCAGGAGGGCCAGCAACCAGAATAATATTCAAAGCAATATTTAATATTGTTAATAATTTTGACACTGAGAGAAACTTTTGTGAATGTAAAAAAGCACTTATGAGGGCTTAAAACAGGAATGCAGATCTTTAGCATCTGTTGATCCTACAGTGAGGGGAACAGAATAAATAACCTCAAGCAGCTGTTAATTAATTTAATGTTTATTAATAATTGATTATCATTAATTATTAGATGCTGATGAATTATTTGATCATATTCATTGCCTGTGAATTAGGAGGTGAATCATATTTGTGCTAAGTGTGTTTATGGCTACCAGACAGCTGAAATGGCCAGTTCTATTTTCCCTTATTTAAGTTCTTAGATTGTGAGAGTTATGAGCTTTAATTCTTTCTTACTGATGCTTTGTGTTTTCAAATGGCTTTGTGGAAACTAGCAATTCAGCAGCTGCGCCTTTTTCTTCTTACAGGTGGGCACTAATGGGAACCAATTTGTTGATATTTGAGCCTCTGTCTGAGGTAGCAAGAACTCAATGGCATGGGAATAATGGCAATATTATCTAAGTAAGTTCTTTTCATTGCAGATGACTTTGCTCAAATCAACCAAAAGCAGATTTGTGTTCCCCAGGTATGTTTCTTCTAGTTTCAGTTAATTGAATAGTCCGTAGATGAGCATCTATCTCTATGGTTTTTCAAAGTGTTACTAAGTCCAGCAGCCATGAAAATATAACATAAACATATAAATTGCTTACCCTTTTTCCATTTTTGTACCCTCTTGGGCATTTATCTGGGGATTTTCAGTCTCAGGCCAGAAGAGTTTAGCAATAGCTAAAGCTGCTGGTGCAGACATCACAGAAGCAGTTAATAAATGGGAAGGTGAAACCTGACAAATGAAAACGAATTATTTTTTTACATTAGGACAGTGTTATTCAACCTCAGCGACTTCAAGTCAGTGTGGGCTTTACTTCCCAGAATTTCCCAGTTAGCGTGCTTTAGAGATGGGTTGAAAAAAAATGTTGTTTTAGAAGCTGTAATAAAATATATTGGAATAATATGAAAAAATGGAGGCCAACAGCATTTTAAAGAACAGGCAGGATTTTGTACGAGAAAGGGGAATTTTAACTAGAGAAAGAAGTCTAGAAAGCTCTGGAAATCATAGACCTCAAAAGCAAATTCAATGACCACAGTGTCAACTCTCAGTAGCAAAAAGACATCACCCTGATATAAGAGAGTGGTATCATTAGGTTTACGGTAGCTTCAAGAAATGAGGAAATACAAAAAGAAAAGAAAAGAAAGAAAGAAAGAAAGAAAGAAAGAAAGATCCCTAATGAGGCAAAACAGCTAATGAAAACGAATCATGTTTAACACCACAAACTCCTGACTACAAACAAGATAAAATAATCATTATCAATTACTGTGCTTCCATTCTTACCCCAAAGGAAATATATGCTCCTAAAACACTTCCAGCAATGGTGGCAAATCCCGCTGTCATGATAGCATGGAGTTCAGACTTGGTAACATAGGGCAGATATGGTTTTACCATGAGAGGAGACTCCGACTGTAAGAAAAAGAAATCAAGTAAGCAGATTTTACTTATATCTTCCTCTTATATTTTAGAATGGTCTGTCAAGCCCCCATGCCACAGGTTATTGTCAGGTGCAAAGGATCAGGGCCACATGTGAAGTTGCAGTACAGAAGATTTATTATTCAAGCCTATTGACAAGAATGCAGTCAACTAACAGTCAGCATTAAACTGGCACTTGATAAAGGTCAACAAATTCAAGGGGGGCTGGACTTGGGTCACTTGTGGCAACGTAAGAACTCTTAACCGATGATGTGTTTAACTCCAGCCCCCAGCTCTGCCTGCTTTTCTCCTACAGATATGATCCAGGACAGCGGTCCCCAACCTTTCCAGCCCCGTGGACTGTCAGTGTGTGTGTGGGGGGGAGGGGATGGTTTCATGCACAGGCACTCTGCTCGTGCAAATGGAGCTTTCCGTGCTTGCCTGCCACTTGCGTGGCCTTGTTGCCCAGTTGATTGGGGGTTTGGGATCCCTGAATTCACGAAGCAAATTTTACATGGATGACAGCAAGGAGTTTTAATGCAAAGAATTAGGGATAAAGCTCAGAATCTCGGAAACTTAATAGAACCCTCCAGCCCTCATTTATTAGTGTAAATGAATACACTAATTAGTCTAAAGGAATACACTTGTAAAGGAAGAATCTTTTTGAACATTTTGAATACCTTCTTCCTTGGCTTTTTGAAGTTTGAACTGGGGTCATTCTTCTGGTTAAAAAAGGGTCAAAAGATAGAATTGTATAGGTTTTTTTGTTTTAGAAGGAAATCTTGACAGAAAATATGTGCCTATTTTGGACACTGTTGCATGAATTTATGGTATCCTTTCTCATATAATCTAATGCAAATCCAATCTGAACATTAGGCTAATGCAAAAGCATGAACCTGCAATATTCTTGCATATCAGGCAGCATCTCTGCTCTAAGAGGGAATCAATAACCAATTTATCTTGCTTCTGAGTTTTCTGGAATCATGAGAAACAAACAAGAAAAGAAAAAAAAAACTTACTGCCCCATGTAAGAATGTCTACTCTGCCAAGGCAATAAAATAGTTGACCTATTATTAGAAATGCTGAACCTTCCTTCGTATCTGGAATTTAAATATTTGTACTGCTTTGTCTCTTGGGAGTTGTGCAATGGCATTTTAAATGGATGATTTCCATGGCTGTTAATACTTACCCAGGTGTTTGTCCTCTGTCTATTAGCTTACTTCTCTGCCTCACAAACTTACCATTCCCACAAATATATTGCCAGCTGCAACTAAAGATTCTACTGGACTTGTCTGTAAGGTAATTTGCATGATCCATCCAACCTATGAAAGTTACAATACACAAAATTAATCTTTTGGCCATTTTCAAGCTGCATCATGTACATAGAATACAACAAACAACTTTAACTGAATTAAAGTACATGTAAGGAATTAAAGTAAACTCTGTAAGGAATTCTCCCATGTCCGTAATTTTCTTTAGGAGGCTATTTGGAATACACCAAATATATACCAATTTCTTACAATACATGAATCCCTAGCTGAGTCAGGTCTGCCAGGGTAGAATCATTGCCAGGGGCATCCATGCGTATCTTGATTAGACAAAATGTTATAAACTGGAACATATCAAGCCGCTTTGAGCTTTTATAATGAATCTACGAATAAATCAGTTTAATCTGCTACATTGGCACAGGCTACATAAAGTCTAAATTACAGAATTCGCATAAGACTAACAGAGCTTGGATAGTGTAAGTTGTACAGTTTATGAATACTCTGGCAGAATTACAGGGACCTACATCTTCCAGTCTCCCCAGAAACCAGGAATTTCACCACAGCTCCATTGCAGGATCAGACTAACATAATTCTACCGTTCTACCAATTCTACCTGCTTTTTTTCCCCTCTCCAACTTGTCCAAAAATGTAACTTACCAAACAAAAGGATGCACCTTTTAATAACCATAATCTTCCTATATTTGCTGAACAGTTTAGATAGCTGTTTGTCATTATAGACTAAATGTTAAACTATTTTGACTGGAAGAATTTCTGAGAATAGAAGGCAATGAAATAGTAGATGTGGGAATGAAATCAAGGCATTTGGACGATCTAGTAGGCTTTTTAATGTGGATAATTATACAATATAGACCTAAGGCAGCACTTAAAACAGAATCAACTCAAAGTTGAACCAGTGGCTTCATATTATCAAGGTAAGATTTGAGAGATGGGAAGCCTCTTCTTCTCCCCAAATTCTTTCTACAGCCCTCCAGCAATGTTTCTTTCAATGAGAAGAGAGACAGGGAATCATATGGGAAGGATATAATCATTTCCAGTTCCCTTCCATGAGAATAATTCAACTTTTCTTTGAAGGAGACCTAGATCCAGCCCTTGGGCTGGAATTTTGTAATGCAGGGCTAAGGCCATAACAAGATGAAATCCTAGTATTGGTTCTAGAAACTGATAAAGAGATGGTGATATCCTGAAAAGATTGGTATTTATTCATTAAGTATTTGCTCTTTTATCTTACACATCTTATTCTTGCTTTATTGCAATTTGAAGTTTTATTGTGTCAGATGAAAGGAAGAAATTATATTCTAGAAGTGACAGTTAGTGATAGACTTTGCTTATATATTTAGACCTTCCCTGAAACATTCTTCAGACCGATGTTTCTTAACTTTGAGAGGTATGGACTACAACTCCCAGTCAGCATGCTGGTCAGTACAGATAATCTCCAACTTGCAACAGTTCATTTAATGAAGTTACAACAGCACTGAAAAAAATGACTTATGACCAGTTTTCACATTTACAACCGTTGCAGCATCCCTGTGGTCACATAATCATACTTCAGATGCATGGCAACTGCTTCATATTTATGACGGTTGCAGTGTCCCGGGGTCACGTGATCTCCTTGTGTAGCCTTCTGACAAGCAAAGTTAATGGGGAAGTCAGATTCACTTAACAACCGTGCTACTACATTAACAACTGCAGTGATTCGCTTAACAATTGTGACAAGAAAGATCGCAAAATGGGACAAAACTCTCTTAACAATGATCTCACTTAGCAACATAAATTTTGGGCTCAATTGTGGTTGTAAGTTGAGGACTATCTGCACAGAAAATGGAATTTTACTTATTATCAGATTTCACAGACAATTAATCTACTCTTCCCTAAACTAAATCCCACATTTAATGTCTAGTTAATGGAAGAAGCTGCGTAGACTCATCACTGTGAAGTAATTCCCCCTCTTGTTCATGCACGCATGTGCACACATACGCGTGTGCACACACACACACATACATACTTACCTGTGAGTCTCAGCTTTTGAATCCTAAGCCTTCCCTCTGACCTTAATAAATGATCGTTCTTTGCTCAACCAATTGAAAGGTACCTACTCAGATTTTTCACACTGGTTTTTATTTATTATTTATTTATTATTTATTGAATTTATATACCGCCCTATCTCCCTTACAGGACTCAGGGCGGTGAACAGGCGATAATAAAAACCATGATAAATATACACAAGTTTCTGTTCTAAAATCAAATTAAATAACAGGCCTGCTCTAAAAGTACCCCATACAAAAACCGCCACTAAAACATAATCAAACTACGCCAGGCCGGCTGCACGGAATAGATGGGCCTTCTGTTTTGTTTGATCTGAGGACTTCTGCTCCCACCCTTGCCAGCTTTATCCCTTATACCCACTCAATATACAGGGAGTGATGAGCTCAAGACATATAGAATGCTTCAGGTTAAATAAAGTTATTTTATGATAGTTTACAAGATGCATTAGATTTAGGGGAAAAGTGCTACATACTTTTTTAAAAGAGAAAAGGAAATTAAGAAAAACAATCTGATCCATGTACTATATATATTTCTATAATTATAAAAGACAAATTGTAATTTTATAACTGGAAACAAATTCCTTGTGTATCCAATCACATGTGGCCAATAAAGAATTCTATTCTATTCTATTCTATTCTATTCTATTCTATTCTATTCTATTCTATTCTATTCTAGTCTAGTCTAGTCTAGTCTAGTCTAGTCTAGTCTAGTCTATTATTGTGAAGCTTCTCAAAGTACCCAGAACACTGTTACCTTTTTAATAAGCCACTGCATGAATCCGACATGGTATAGCACAGACATCACTGTACTGAAGAAAATAATAATAGGCAGCACCTAGTCGAAGACAAAACATCTATTGTTAAAAACTGTTTCCAAGTTATCTAAATGCTTTCCTATGTTATAAAGTTCAAACAGACCAACTCTAAAATACTGTACCATCAATCTTGTAATCAAAGACTAACAATTTGTCAGTGTTCATAGGCCGAAATAAATTAAAATAATACATTCCAGAAGCATGCTTGTCTTACCAAGATGCCTGGAGAAGGAATTCCTGAGTGCCACACACAAAAAAAAGAGCAGCTATGCTTTATTTCTTTAAAAAAAACATGATTTTATTGAAACTTTTAAAGAAGAAGATAAAAACCAATCAGAATTAATGTGACATAAAGAGGAAAAGAAGAAGAAATAAAAGAGAAAGCAAAAAGTACAAGAAAAGAATCAGGGAGTCCAGATGCCCCTCAGTCCACCTGGTTCCCCAACTCCTGCTTTAAAATGGATTTAGTCAACTGAGAGCAAAAGAACTTGCTGATTAATAATATTTGTTGCTGTAAGCAAATGCTGTTCTATCCTCTTTAAAACTGGTCTTTTTCAGGTTCATTATTTTGGTCAGCATATCATAGTACTTCAGACAATGCCAAATGATACTTCTCTCATCAAAGAACTGGCTGAAACTGACTGGTACTTTAAACAGGAATATTTCTTTTAGGGAAATATTGTACATACAAAACGTGATGTGCTTTACTGATTCATTTTGTAAACTTACCCACTATAACTTGGTCAGTGTAAGCCAGGTACAACAAAAACAATGCCTATTTACCTTGAAGGCAAAGAAGTGATCAGTATATTTTTCACCAAACACGAATTTAGCACCAGCATCGGTATATCCCAAGAAAATCTTAAAGGGAAGAGAAAAAGGGAGAATAAGTTGTTTTAAGGGGGAAAACACCCTCAATTATTCTAATCCAATTTTTTAAAGACTTGTATTTCTCAAGTATTCAACCAATCATTACAGGTTTAATGTTCAAGTAGTGAATTGTATGACTCACTAGGTGAGGTCAATTGAAAATAAGAACTAGTGAATCATGAACTCTTGAATCAAGGGAAAGTCAAGGTAGTCTTGAAAGACTTAAATCAAGGTAAAGGAAGTATAAGTTCCTCTTTGATTTAAGACATTGTCAAAAGCTGGATGTGAGGCACCCCACCACATCTGTAACTTTCTGTTCTTAAGTGGAAATTAAGATTGCTGTCTCATTTTTATTTTCATACAGACCACTCACTGCATAAATACAAATCCCCAGTGCTTTTTTTGTAAAACAAACAAACAAACAAACAAACAAAAAAAGGTGCCGGAACTCACACATGTCATACAACCCGCCTTGCCTACCCTACAAGGTTCCATTAAAAAAAAGTGCCGGAACTCCGTTCCGGGCGTTCTGTGACAAAAAAAGCCCTGCAAATCCCAGGACTGAAAGACAAACTTTTCAGAGTTTCAAGTTAAGCAAAACAATGAGCACTGTGGGAGTGGCAGTATCTTTCTTCTTCCTGGTTCTTAGCTGCTGATCTAGCTTTGTTTGTCATCACAATGATTAGTATCTCTGCACCCCACACTTCCAATGCTACAAGGAATTCTAATTGCTTCCTCCTGCCTAACCCAAGATAAGAGGTAAAAAGAAATGTTGCTAGGTCTCAAGGAAATTCAGAGATTTGTATTTTGTGACTGATCTGTGGTCACAGTCCATGTACTCTGCAATTTCACAAAGAAAGAAAAGCAATACATTATTCTAAGATAATTATTCCTGGGACTTAAAACTAAGGGGGGGGAACATATAAATGCTGCAGCGTTCTTCTATAATAAAAATGTGAACCCTCAAACTAATTCTGAATTTAAAAAAACCGAAACTAACAAGGAAACATGCCAGTTTAATAATGACCTCGGTGAAATGAAACTTGGAGACCTTATACAGTAATTCTAACCTTTGGAGATGTTAATGGCAGAAACATTTTATAAATTGTGCAGATAAATGCAAATCTGCAAGGGAAACATTTTGGGATTGTTTAGAAACAAAGGGCACTTACTTGGAAAATTTATTTATTTATTTATTTATTTATTTATTTATTTATTTATTTATTTATTTATTTATTTATTTATTTATTTGTCAATCACATTTTTTAACCCCCTCTCTCCCTCAGAGAGGGGCTCTGGGGGTTTTCCAATGGTAGTAGAAGAATATTTAAAAGGAAAGGCTGTATTTAAAAATGCTTCACTGACAGGTGCTACTTGTATTGACATGGGGAAGAGGAAGAAAATTATGTGGTTGTATCTTGCTACAGTGCAACAGTATTGTAATATCTTATGCTAAAATGATTAAGATTTCTCTGGAGATTTTTCCCTTCTCTTAGGTACCCCATTTCTAACAGAATGGCTATGAAAGATGAACATTTGGAAGGCAACGGATTGTGACAAACTGCATGAACCAGTCCATTTAAATAGTGAATGTATGTTATTTGCCTGCAGAGGTCCACTACCGAATCATGATTTCAAAGGATGCAGAACTTAGTCCCAAAGGTGCTTTATGGGGAGGCCACTAGACTTTCTGGTTTTTCTTTGAAGATGTTTCACTTCTCATCCAAGAAGCTTCTTCTGCTCTGACTGGATGATGGGGAATAGAAGGATTTATATTAAGGAATATAAATCTTTCCATTCCCCACCATCCAGTCAGAGCTGAAGAAGCTTCTTGGATGAGAAGCGAAACGTCTTCAAAGAAAAAACAAGAAAGTCCAGTTGCCTCCTGAAAAAGCACCTTTGGGACAACCATGACCTGGATGGTTGAGAGAATAGACAGGCAGAACATCCATGACCTGGATGGTTGACTGAGAATAGACAGGCAGAACTTAGGTTAAGGATAAATTAATGTGGTTTTTGAAATCCTTTGTTTTTGCCTCAGGTATACTTAAGACTTTTTTTTGCTGCCTCTACAATCAACAATATTTCCTTGTTACTTGACAAGGAAGAGAACATTTTTTTCTGCTCTTAGTGTTCATGCTCAGGTCCTCCACCCTTGGTATGAATAGCTTCCAATGACTGCTTTTTTCTTCCATGACTGTGTGACACTCTGTCATTTCCAGTTCAGAGCTTATGCAACTTAAAAGTTTCTACAGCTTTTCCAGTTTTTCCTTTTATCCCAGTCCAATTTTTGACATGGATGAGATATGGCATACCTCACTGATGACACAGCCACTGACAGAATCAGTGCTTAAGATCTGCAAAGTAAGTTCAGCCATTTTATACTATTGCAAGGAATACTTTCTTTCTGGTTACTGGCAACTGTCTTGACTATTTTGTGCTGTAGGAAAGACCGATTTCTATAAAGGCCTCTGTCCAAGTAATGCTTGACTGGCACTTTTCAAAGCGCTTGTCAGATCTTAGGGAGAGTTTTTAACACAGAAGGAGTGCTAGACTTAGTTTTGAAAACAGTTCTACTGCTATGTTGCTAATCCTTGTTAGAGATGTCTGCTGCTTCTACTGACCAGGTGTTTTGCTTGGCCATATTGTTATTGTTTTTATTACTTTGGCGATGGTGGGTGACACTGCCATCTTCTCTATTCCATTCCAATGTTGATGCCAAGAGCTGTGGTGGTGCAGTGGTTAGAATGCAGTACTGCAGGCTAATTCTGCTGACTACCAGGGGTTCAGTCCTCACCAGCTCAAGGTTGACTCAGCCTTCCATTCTTCTGAGGTCAGTAAAATGAGGACCCAGTGAGGACCCAAATGAGGACCAGTGAAGCAGTATATAAGTCTAAGTGCTATTGCTATTGGTTGCCACGAGGAGGATTGCTGTTATGTGCAAGTCAGTCACAACTGCTGCTCTCAATGGCCATCTNTTTTATTTTATTTTATTTTATATTTTATTTTATTTTATTTTATTTTATTTTATTTTATTTTATTTTATTTTATTTTATTTATTTTATTTATTTATTTATTTATTTATTTATTTATTTATTTATTTATTTATTTATTTATTTGTCAATCACATTTTTTAACCCCCTCTCTCCCTCAGAGAGGGGCTCTGGGGTTTTTTCCAATGGTAGTAGAAGAATATTTAAAAGGAAAGGCTGTATTTAAAAATGCTTCACTGACAGTTACAGGTGCTACTTGTATTGACATGGGGAAGAGGAAGAAAATTATGTGGTTGTATCTTGCTACAGTGCAACAGTATTGTAATATCTTATGCTAAAATGATTAAGATTTCTCTGGAGATTTTTCCCTTCTCTTAGGTACCCCATTTCTAACAGAATGGTTATGAAAGATGAACATTTGGAAGGCAACAGATTGTGACAAACTGCATGAACCAGCCCATTTAAATAGTGAATGTATGTTATTTGCCTGCAGAAGTCCACTACCGAATCATGATTTCAAAGGATGCAGAACTTAGTCCCAAAGGTGCTTTATGGGGAGGCCACTAGACTTTCTGGTTTTTCTTTGAAGATGTTTCACTTCTCATCCAAGAAGCTTCTTCAGCTCTGACTGGATGATGGGGAATAGAAGGATTTATATTAAGGAATATAAATCTTTCCATTCCCCACCATCCAGTCAGAGCTGAAGAAGCTTCTTGGATGAGAAGCGAAATGTCTTCAAAGAAAAAACAAGAAAGTCCAGTTGCCTCCTGAAAAAGCACCTTTGGGACAACCATGACCTGGATGGTTGAGAGAATAGACAGGCAGAACATCCATGACCTGGATGGTTGACTGAGAATAGACAGGCAGAACTTAGGTTAAGGATAAATTAATGTGGTTTTTGAAATCCTTTGTTTTTGCCTCAGGTATACTTAAGACTTTTTTTTTTGCTGCCTCTACAATCAACAATATTTCCTTGTTACTTGGCAAGGAAGAGAACATTTTTTTCTGCTCTTAGTGTTCATGCTCAGGTCCTCCACCCTTGGTATGAATAGCTTCCAATGACTGCTTTTTTCTTCCGTGACTGTGTGACACTCTGTCATTTCCAGTTCAGAGCTTATGCAACTTAAAAGTTTCTACAGCTTTTCCAGTTTTTCCTTTTATCCCAGTCCAATTTTTGACATGGATGAGATATGGCATACCTCACTAATGAGGCAGCCACTGACAGAATCAGTGCTTAAGATCTGCAAAGAAATTTCGGCCATTTTATACTATTGCAAGGAATACTTTCTTTCTGGTTACTGGCAACTGTTTTGACTATTTTGTGCTGTAGGAAAGACCGATTTCTATAAAGGCCTCTGTCCAAGTAATGCTTGACTGGCACTTTTCAAAGCGCTTGTCAGATCTTAGGGAGAGTTTTTAACACAGAAGGAGTGCTAGACTTAGGTTTGAAAACAGTTCTACTGCTATGTTGCTAATCCTTGTTAGAGATGTCTGCTGCTTCTACTGACCAGGTATTTTGCTTGGCCATATTGTTATTGTTTTTATTACTTTGGCAATGGTGGGTGAGGGGGACACTGCCATCTTCTCTATTCCATTCCAATGTTGATGCCAAGAACTGTGGTGGTGCAGTGGTTAGAATGCAGTACTGCAGGCTAATTCTGCTGACTGCCAGGGGTTCAGTCCTCACCAGCTCAAGGTTGACTCAGCCTTCCATTCTTCTGAGGTCAGTAAAATGAGGACCCAGTGAGGACCCAAATGAGGACCAGTGAAGCAGTATATAAGTCTAAGTGCTATTGCTATTGGTTGCCACGAGGAGGATTGCTGTTATGTGCAAGTCAGTCACAACTGCTGCTCTCAATGGCCATCT